AATGTGATTGTGGAAGATGAGTACGATTATGAAGCTGTTGATGAATATGAGCCAGATCCGATGAACAATTCAAGAACACGTATATATTGTGCTCATAACGCCACCGATGAGCCCGTGCAACATGAGCCATTACAAAGGGATGGACGTTACAATGAAAGGCTCATTCAACGATATACTGCATTTCAAATGCCAGACATGCACAATGCCCGACAAATTGACTTGATAGAACACCAGTGGGCATTGAAACAAGCTGAAGATAATTAAGTTCATTTAGTGTGTTTTTTTGAATTTGGTATGTTTATGTTATTTTATTTGGTGTGTTTTATTATTTGGTATGTTTATGTAATTTTTTTATGTTTATGCTTATGTAATTCTTAGTATGTGTAATTCTTAGTATGTTTATGTTTATGTTTATGTTTATGTTTATGTTTATGTAATTTTTTGATGTTTATGTTTATGTAATTCTTAGTATATGTAATTTTTTTATGTTTATGTTTATGTAATTCTTAGTATATGTATTATAAGAAGAAAATCACTTTTTTTTTCAATAAAAGAAAATATTAGAGTGGGCTTAAACAATAATAAATCACAATTGGCATAAAGCAAGGAGGCAGAGGGTAATTCTTAGTATAAATAACTTACCAAATTAATTTGAATAAATATTCAAGAAATTGGAAACAACATAAATAATACAAACAATAAATAATAAATTACAACCCAAAGTGATTGGAAAATTATGGGCTCCGATTACAAAAAGTACTCTATTCATCATCACTTAACCAATTTGTGGTGCTAGGATGATCTTCTCTTGTGGTGCTAGAACCACCTTGGCTTGCTATCGTTTCTCTTGCATGCCTCCTTCGCACCACGTCCGCTTTCTCTGACTTCCAAAAATATTTAGAATTTGGAGACTTCCCTTCTAAAGACATGTTCATAATCTCACGATCTTGTTGAGCCCATCTTTCTTCTCTAACATGTTCCCTTTCTTGCCTAAGTAGCTCTCTTTCTCTCTCATTAGCATAAAATTCTCTCTCAACAACTGCTGCTTTTGCTGCCTCTATAGCCTTATCTATTAGAAGTATAAGAATGTAAGGCTGAGATGATGCCACATGTAAACAGATTAGCTTGTCTGTTATATTGGTTAGAAGAGTCGGTTTGCTAAGAGTATAAATACTTCATCTTGTAATAGCTTCCTTAATAAACAGAAGATAATAATACATCATAATTTTTCCTCTGAATTCTCTCTACAATCCTCTTTCTCTTTCTCTTTCTCTTTCTCTCTTTCTCTCTATCTGCATTGAATCTGAGATACTGGGTTAACATGGTATCAATCGCCATTGTTGCTCACGCATAAAGATCCGATCCGTTGTTGCTTCCGCTTTCTACCAGTCTTCGTCTGCTACTCTGGAGCTGCATCGTCTCTTCTCTTGGTGATTTCCCTTGGTGTTCAAGATTCTAGGGTTTCTACATCAAGTCCTGATTCTTGTTTTCTGGGTGTTTCTCGACTGCACACCAGGTGTTTGTTTTTTGGCCTAAGCCACAGAAAGGTATTATCTCACTCAGTTTCTTTGTATACAACCATGGTTACTGCTTCGCAACTTCAAATTTTGCAATCTCCGATTACTGGGTTGATTTCCTCTGTGTCCACTTCTGTGAATGTCAAATTGGATGACTCTAATTACCTTAATTGACATTTTCAAATGGAATTAATGCTGGAGGGATATGGAATTATGGGGTTTGTTGATGGTTCGTCCCCATGTCCTCCTCATTTTGTATCTTCTTCTTCTGTTACATCTGAAGTCAGTTCTGGTGATTCATCTGCTAATGTCGAAACTGATGACTATAAAGTGTGGAAAATGCATGATCGTGCACTTATGCAGTTGATAACGGCTACACTATCCCCTGTAGTTGTTTCTTGCGCTATAGGGAGTACTAGTTCTCAGGACATTTGGACTCGTCTCAAAGACAATTTTTCGACAGTTTCAAGAACTAGTATCTTTCAGATGAAGTCTGACTTACAAAATATTAAGAAAGGCTCCAATACAATTTCTCAGTATCTGCAGAGAATCAAAGAGGCTCGCGATTATCTATCTGCTGCAGGAGTGTTCTTTGAAGATGAAGACATTGTGATTTTGGCTTTAAATGGATTACCTCCTGAATATAACACATTTCGGTGTGTCATTCGTGGAAGAGAAAAGGTCATCTCTTTGAAAGAGTTTCGATCTCAATTGCTTGCTGAGGAAGGAATTGTTGATGCAAGTAATAATGCTCAGCTGCTGTCTACAATGTTGGCTACCAGTTCTTCTACTATTGACAGGGGTTCTAGTGATCATTCTTCTGGTCTTTCTTCTAATTCTGGGCAATCCACCTATGGGTTTCGGCAAACCAACAATAAATACAAAGGCAAGGGCAAGTTTAATCAAGGCAACAGATTCAACATGCCAAGGCAGTTATATAACACTCAAACCCGAGTGCTTCCAACTCCGAGTCCAGGTCTTCTTGGTCATGCACCTCAACCAACTTATGGCAGTTATCCTGATCCTTTTAATACTTGTCAACTCTGCTATCAAGAAGGACACACTGCACCTTCCTGTCCTAATCAATTCCGGTTCAAGCCTAAGTGCTACATTTGTGGCCGACAGAATCACACGGCTCAGTATTGTTTTCACAAGGATAAAGATCATCGCCTATCACAACCACAGTTTGGCATGTTCCCTAATTCCTTTCCTCCACAATACTCTATGCAAGCAATGAACACTGTGCTTTCTCAACCCTCACAGTCAACACCTGGCATGTCCTCCGCTCCGGCTGCTTCCCCTCAAGTTTGGATTGCAGACTCCGGTGCCACCAACCATATGACTGCTGACTTCAACAATTTGACTTTGGCCACTCCTTATCCTACTTCTGAAACAGTGCACACTGCTAATGGTGAAGGTCTGAAAGTATCTCATATTGGGAGTACAATTCTCAAACCTCATCTTCATCCCATTAAGCTGAATTCTATACTATATGTGCCTAAATTGTCTCAAAACTTGTTATCTGTGCATAGACTCTGCCTTGACAACAACTGTTAGCTCATATTTGATGCATATAATTTTTGGATACAGGACAAGGCTACAGGGAGGATACTGTTCAAAGGAATTTGCAGTAATGGGCTATATTCAATACCTTCACTTGCCAATCATCATCATGCGTCTCAGAAATCGATTTTGCAACCCACAGCCTTCCTTAGTCAGCTTGTCACATCTATTATTTGGCATAGTAAACTAGGTCATCCCTCAAACCCCATTGTGTCTTTAATGCTCAGTAAAGCTAACATACCTTGTACAAAATCATCATTACCTGTGTTGTGTCAAAGTTGCTTAGAAGGCAAGTTTAGCAAACTGCCCTTTCATTGTAGTGTCAATAAGGCTGATAAACCTTTTGAAGTTGTTCATAGTGACATTTGGGGGCCAGCACCATGTATTTCTGCTGATTGTTTTCGATATTATGTAACATTCATTGATGAATGTACTCGGTTTTGTTGGCTGTTTCCTCTCATCAATAAATCAGATTTGTTTGACACATTTGTTGGTTTTTATTCATTTGTGTTGAACCAATTTTCTGTTTCCCTTCAATTGTTACAAAGTGATGGGGGTGGGGAATACCTTAGTCACAGATTTCAAAGGTTTCTTAAAGACAAAGGCATTTCTCATCAAATTTCTTGTCCTTATACCCCTGAGCAAAACGGTTTAGCAGAAAGGAAACATAGACACTTGGTAGAAACCACAATTACACTTCTCCAAACTGCTCAATTGCCATCCCGGTTTTGGTCATTTGGTTGTCAAACTGCTAACTATCTCATCAATAGGATGCCCTCTGCAACTTTGCAGAATAAGTCCTCTTTTGAGCTTTTGTTTGGGGATTTACCTGTCCTTTCACACTTAGGGGTTTTCGGGTGTACCTGTTATCCTCTTCTTAAGCCTTACAACAATACTAAATTGCAACCAAAAACAGCCAAATGTGTTTTTCTTGGGTATGCCTCTAAATATAAAGGGTATATATGTTATGAGGTGTTAAGTCAAAGATTCTACATTTCTAGACATGTGATCTTTGATGAGACAGAGTTTCCTTATTCAGCCTTATTGACATCAGTTCATTCTTTCCATAAGTCATCTACACAGTCTTCTACAGCAACCCCTTTTACACATCCATTCCCTATCACTAATAGTCTTAATGAATTAGTTACATTCCCATCTCATTCATCATCACATACATCTTCTATACCTGTGTCACCAAGTTTATCATCTCATAGTCCTGCTGTTACACCATTACATCCTTCTGTTTCCACTCCTCCTTCGTTAGTACCCTCACAACCAGTCACCTCAAATTCTGTTCCTCAGTCCATTATTGCAGCTGCAAATTCCTATCCTGAGATCCCTGTGGCATTTGATTTTAGTCCTGATAGTCTACAAGTTGTATTACCAATACCTCCCCTCAATTTACATCCTATGCAAACAAGGAGTAAAAGTGGAATTGTTAAAAAGAAGGTACTTTTGACCACATTTGATGAGTCTCCACCTGTTGATCTTTCTTTGGTGGAACCTGCTACTTACAAATCTGCACTCAATGTTCCAGTTTGGTTCAATGCTATGACAGAAGAACTAGATGCATTGTATAAACAAGGGACATGGAGTTTGGTTCCTTTACCACCTCAAAAGAACTTAGTGGGATGCAAATGGGTCTTCAAGGTCAAAAAGCATTCTGATGGATCTATAGCTCGGCATAAAGCTCGGTTGGTCGCAAAAGGGTTTAGCCAAGAACCTGGTTTAGACTATGGCGAAACCTTCAGTCCTGTAGTAAAGCCAACTACTGTCAGGTTAGTTTTGGCATTAGCAGCTCAATTTGATTGGCGCCTTCGATAACTTGATGTCAAAAACGCTTTTTTGCATGGTGTTCTTCAAGATGAGGTATATATGGCTTAACCTCATGGGTTTGTAGATGCTAAACAACCTGAATTAATGTGTAAGTTACACAAGTCCCTCTATGGGTTGAAACAAGCCCCTCGGGCTTGGAATGAAAGATTTACTGCATTTCTACCTTCTCTGGGGTTTCAACATACATATTCTGATTCTTCTCTTTTTGTCAAGCATGCTGGTGAATCTGTTGTGATTTTATTGTTGTATGTTGATGATATAATCATCACAGGGAGTAGTTTTGCAGCAATTACACAGGTCATTCACTATCTCACAACTGAGTTTGATATCAAGGATTTGGGCATTCTCCATTTTTTCTTGGGTATTCAGATTACTAGGTGTCCCAATGGTCTGTTCTTATCACAGACTAAATACATACGGGATCTGCTGCATAAAACAGAAATGCTTGATTCTAAAGCTTGTGATACTCCCTGTCTCCCTTATAATCGGCTCTTGAAGGATGATGGTCAGACCTATAACAATCCAACCATGTACAGGAGTATAGTCGGGGCTCTTCAGTATCTTACATTTACTAGGCCCGATATTGCCTTTTCTGTTCATCATGTGTGCCAGTTTATGCAAGCACCAATGCAGTCTCATTTTACAGCAATGAAGAGGATCTTAAGGTACTTAAAAGGGACTATGCATCTGGGGCTCACATATTCCAAGGGTGATTTACATCTCAAATCTTTTAGTGATGCTGACTGGGCAGGGGATCCTAATGATAGGAGGTCTACAACCGGTTTAGTTGTCTTTTTAGGTACCAATCCCATCTCTTGGTCATCTAAGAAACAACAAACTGTTTCTCGTTCATCTACTGAAGCTGAATATCGGGCCCTCTCTTCCACGGCTGCTGAGTTGGACTGGATCCAACAACTTCTGGCTTTTTTGAAGGTTTCTGTTCGTTCTTCTCCTGTGTTGTTTTGTGATAATCTTTCAGCAATTGCCTTATCCTTCAATCCAGTCCAACATCAGCGCACTAAGCATATTGAGATAGATGTTCATTTTGTTCGCAAAAGGGTTGCCAAGAATAAATTGATTGTTCAATTTGTGTCTTCTCAAGAACAATTTGCGGATATTCTCACAAAAGGATTGAGTGCTCCTTTGTTTAAGTTTCATTGTACCAATCTCATGCTTGGCGGTTCCAAGCATGAGATTGTGGGGGGATGTTAGAAGTATAAGAATATAAGGCTGAGATGATGCCACATGTAAACATATTAGCTTGTCTGTTATATTGGTTAGAAGAGTCGGTTTGCTAAGAGTATAAATACTTCATCTTGTAATAGCTTCCTTAATAAGCAGAAGATAATAATACATCATAATTTTTCCTCTGAATTCTCTCTACAATCCTCTTTCTCTTTCTCTTTCTCTCTCTCTCTTTCTCTCTATCTGCATTGAATCTGAGATACTGGGTTAACATTATCAGCCTCATCTTTCGCCATTTCCCTCGCCAAAGTCAATTCACCTTGGCGAGTAAGTTCTTCCATGAACTTTGCATAATCATTCTTGGAAGCACCCCTTTTTCTCTTTGAAGCCTTCTTACCTTCAGGCCTAATTGGATAACGGGTCGAACCCGACGCTTGTTCAGGGAGGGGCGTTTCGGGCACTTCTTCTGCATCATCTTCATGAACATGATCGGGTGTAGAGTGTAGAGGGGTGCTGTTCATGTGCACTTCTGGACCGACTGGCACAACTCTAAATTTAGGACAATCTTTGACAATATTCCAACATTCTCACCAGTTGAATGATTTATTTTTGCTTTTGGTTTTGGCAGCGTACCAAGCTTGTGCTTGAAGTTCCTACACAATAAAAATAAGTAACAAATAAATAATTATAATGAAAATAAGTAACAAATAAATAATTATAATGAAAATAAGTAACAAATAAATAATACAAATAATAAATAATAAATAACAAATAAATAATACAAACAATAAATAATAAATTATGACGGTAACAAATAAATAATACAAATAATAAATAATAAATAACAAATAAATAATACAAACAATAAATAATAAATTTTGACGGTAACAAATAAATAATACACACAATAAATAATAAATTTTTTACGTAACAATTAAATAATACAAACAATAAATAATAAATTATGTAGGTAACAAATAAATAATACAAACAAATAATTATAATGTAAATTTGGGTATCAAATAAATAATATATTGTTACCTGAACCGAGTAATTTTCCCCACTTCGAATATTACTACTAGCTTGTGCCAAGGCGTCTCTCCACGTACTAAACGATTGGCTAAGTAATTTCCAACGATTGGACATCGATTCTTTGGTTCTTTTCCCACCAATTTTCTCAAGAAAATTGGTATGAATAAGACTCCACATTTCTCGCAACTGCATCTCATTACCCGTAAGCGAACTATGAGTAACTTCAACCCAGCTAGTACACAACGCAACATATTCAATAAGCGACCAATTCGTACCTGCACCAGTGGTCATTTTGTTGAAAAAAAAAAATTCAAACTTTGAGACAAAGAAAGGAATGTGATTGAAAGTAATTGAGAAAATATGAAATTGTTGTGTAAGGTAGATGATAATGAGAAGGTATTTATAGAAAAGTAAAAACAATTTTTTTCACAATTTTTTCAGATTTTTCATTTTTTTTTTTTTGAATTTATTTGAATTTTTTACAATTTTTTTTTAATTTTTATTCAATTAATTAATCTCTGCCGTTGGATATAAAAAAATTTGAATTTCAACACTCCAGATTGTGCCACGTGTCACAACGGTAACTTTTCAGATTTTTAAAACTATTTTTTCTTTTATTTTTTTATTTATAAAGCATTTTAATATCCATCGTTGATCTAAGATCGAACGGTGGATATTAAATCTGACTTAATTTTTTTTTTTTTTTTACCGTTGAGATCGAACGGTCCACATTAAGTGGCCGTTAAGATCTAACGCACCGTGGGAAGCCACGCGGCTCCCCAACTGTAACTGACACTTTCTTTTTTTTCTTCTGATTTTTGTGTCGGCGATGCGCCCCCATGCGTGGGTGGGGTGCACGCGCCTGACACAAAAAAAATAAAATATTGCGCTGACGCCACTCTGGTGTCAGCCTGACGTCACGCCCACCTCGGGCTCTCGGGCTGGCAATCCCTCACGGGCCCGGAGCTCGGGCCTCCCTCTTCCATCGGGCTCGCCCACGCTGGAGCGACGCCACCGGCCCTCGGGCCATTGTTTTGGACCCCTTCCCCCGAGCAAAACCCAACGCTGGGATTGCTCTAAAAATATGTCTATACAATGACATGTCGGACATGGTGGTGTAATTCGTTAAGTCACGAATGCGTATACGAACTTGATTTTGTTGTCGGCACAGAGAGTTCGAGATAGAGTATCAATGAAATGGATCCATTTCATGGGATCTTAAAAAATCCTCACATCCTAACTATTCATTGTATATTATGCGGTCAATTTTCGTTAGGTATTATTTATATTAATTTTAAATAAAAAATGTCAAATGATTTATGATCGCACAATACACGATAAACAGTTAAGATCTGAGAATTTCTAGGATTCTCGCGAAATGGATCCGGATGGGATCCAATTCCGAGTATCATTACACAGCCCCTACGCTATGCCGCCCGCCAGAACACCAGAATGGACCCCACCTCTACACCCGGCTGGGGCGGGGCATGTATTGGCTGTTTATTTTACTTTTTTTAGTAAAAAGCTGTTTATATTTTTGTTTGGTCTTGGCTATTTATTCTCTGTGGGACCAATGCAACCGTTTTCAACTTCTTCGACGTAATATTGTTATTAAAAAAATACAGAATTTACAATTAAAAATATTTTGTATCCCTTCCTGAATCCTGACCGTCCCTTCTTCCTGGATCCTGTGGGTGAGTGCACTAACATAAAGGAACACGTGGGTCCCCAAAAAGGTAGAATTATGGAATTAGTGTGGTCTACCATCCACTTGATCAGCAACCCGAATACCTTGGGAAGCAAGAAAAAGGAAGCTTTCTGATATTGTGAGCGTCTTTAAACGTTCAGGGGCCCGGAAATCAAAAATTCAAATTATATTATGTTAAAATTTTATTTGACGGTTGATATGATGAATTGAATACGAATGTTTTATCTGTTTTTTTTTTTTTTAATGGATGTATCAAAATATTTATTTTATTATTTATATTGGGCTCCATAGTTATATTAATTTTAAATTGTTTTACTTTTGTTCTATTAGTAGTCAATGAGACTCATCCATTAAAAATTGAATATAGTTAACTTCTTCTTTGTTTGCTGCAAAAAGAAGATAGCTATAAAGAAAAGAATCAAATGATTCAGCTGCCACATCATACATGGCATCTTCATTGGAGCACGCCTAAATGTTTTTTAGTTATATTTAGCATATTTAAAATCTTCTTTAGAGATGGTCTAAAAGTTGTATAAATTACCTGGTATATAAACCGTGGAGTACGTTTCATGAATTTCTCCTCCCTCTTTCTCTCCCTCTCTCAATTATATGAAATTGTCTGTACAAAATTTGACCTGATTTGGTGCGTTCGTTGTTGAGCAGGACTAAGGCTCACACTCAGACTCACAGCACTGAGAACAAAGAGAAACGAGGTCGACCTGCCGATGATTTCAAAGAAATGAGGTCGACCAGCGTTGGACCTTCCGCGACCCTGCCGCAGAAACTCGCCGGTTTCTCACCTTGATTGGTACTTCTTCCCCAGCTAATTACGAATATAACCATTGGAAACGCCATTAGAATTTCTCCACTAGTTAATAAATAGTTGAGTTGGTAGTTTTGTATTTTCCACTGTTTCGTTATAATCTTATTTACTTGTGTGCTGGATGGCATCTGTCCTGGTTCAAATTTGTTAACTGGTTTTCAAGTTCTAGCTTCTGGGGTAAAATTTCTTAATTTCACTAGATTTACTATCCTGTTTATTTGCGTCTTTTCCTGCCCCAAGTCTGCCTGTTGATTTATGCTGGTTTGGATGATATGTACAAAAGAGGACTTGATTCTAAATTCCCTTTTTCTGAATATGCCAGGAAGTATTTGAACACAACGGACGAGATATAACTCTTGCCATCATGAAGAATTACCCGTTACTTCTATGTAAGTTCATGGATGACAAAGTAAAAGTACCATCACTGATTGAATATATCGTGCGTATGAATATTGAGCTATATTCCTGAAGACACATGAGCAAATGCTTAACTGTGTTTTTTCGTTGCTTGTTATATGGTATTTCTTCACAAATTAGAACTGTCCTTCAACTCATCAAGGAGACATTTTTATATACATGGTGAGAGTGAGGCACTGAGATCTTGCGTAAATGCTATCAACCTTTTGTTAAACCAATCAAATGTCTAGTATATAATATATAACAATTGCACAGTTTTTATTTCAAATGGAAAAAACTCAACGACAAATACAATATATCAAAACATAAACACTTAATGAAATTGTATATAAAATCACAAATCACTTACTTGTTTCTTGAAGATAGAGGCTTGCAGAAGCAATTTCCAAACACAGAAATTCGTCCCTACACCAGTGCAGCAGTTCAATGGACGTCTATTTGCAGGATACAACTATCTAATCCAAGTTCTTGCACTCGAACTTGGATTCTTGGCGAATTGGTTGTGGTGTTTCTTTGAGAAGTATGAAGGATTTGATGGAAATTGTTATTTTTGTTTCTGATCCAACAACCATATATATAATGGCGTAAATGAGCAGTTGAAACCGTTCATATTTATCTTTAAGAACGGTTGTAACCGTTCATGTGATCAATTTTATCCTTTCGGAAAAAATTGAATGCAAAAATCAAAAAAGTAAAAATGATACTTAAGTTTTTTGTCCATCCGAGCCCCATGGGCAAATCTTTAACATTTAATATATGCACCCAAACCCTTTAAGTCTAAAACCCAAGGTCTAGGACTTTAGCTTAATTCATTTTAAACTATAAGTGAGTGAACTCAGTTATAAAGATGTAGTGTTAAAGTTGTTTGGGCGATGTGGGACTAGCAGTCCCACATAACAAGAAGTTCCAACACCTTTGTTCCACGGAGAGTCAAGGTGAACTAAAAGATTTTGTTCGTAGTACATTAAAGGAACTTCATAACGAGCTTATTGCCAAACCTAAATCTGCAATGAAAGAAGATACCAATAACTTGCTAACTGTCTATTGTTAAAAAAAAAATTGATGATGATAACTGTCTCCTTCACAATAACTTCATTCTAGGTATATAGTTCGGATTGCATTGAATAGTGGAGAATTCAGTTCTAGTCTAATGAAATATTTGCTGTGTTTAAGGTTTGTGTTCTGCTATCGGAGTTGTGGTTTATGTTTTTGCTTCAACAAATCTGTAAAGGTTGCCAGATGCGTCCATTCTTAAACAGTTTTGGAACCCTTGTGTTCAACATCACCATAATTCAGGTTAGTAATTCGTTTTTTCGTTCACAATAACTTCATTCTAGGTATATAGTTCGGATTGCATTGAATAATGGAAAATTCAGTTCTAGTCTAATGAAATATTTGCTGTGTTTAAGGTTTGTGTTCTGCTATCAGAGTTGTGGTTTATGTTTTTGCTTCAACAAATCTGTAAATGTCGCCAGATGCGTCCATTCTTAAACAGTTTTGGAACCTTTGTGTGCGACATCGCCGTAATTCAGGTTAGTATTTTGTTCTTAATCTCCTCTCTGTAGCTAAAAGTAATATGTTCAAGTTCTAATTTCATGTAAGATCGGACTTGTAACTTTCTTCTTCTTTTTCTTAAGTTAAAAATGACATGTTGTTTAATTATCTCAGAGTATCAGCGGCACAAAAACATATTTGGATGTAGAAAATGTACTCAAGTTTTTCAGTCACAAGTTTTTTTCAAAACTACTTGTAGGTTTCTCTCTTGTGTTCAGTTTCAAATCTTTGATGTGTTTTGAGTTGATTGCTAACTCTGTGCTTATCCCTCCACAGCTTGCAATTTCACTGGCAACAAAAGCAGCTTCGTTTGCCCGGGAACTCAGTCGATAAGATCGGATTTATGCTTTATGCAAGAGCGCTGTGCTCTGCTGGAGGAGGAGAATCGAAGGCTCTGAGACTGGCTGGATAAAGGGTTGAGGCCTGAGGAAGATGATCTGGTGAGGCTTCAGTTGGAGGCACTGCTAGCTGAGAAGTCAAGACTAGCAAATGAAAATTCAAACCTGGTTAGAGAAAATCAATGCCTCAACCAGGTTGTGGAGTACCACCAGCTCACCTCCCAAGACCTCTCTGCTTCATTTGAACAAGTTGTACAAGGGTGGTTAGAGAAAATTAAGTATCGCAGATGTAAATTTTGATGCCATTGACTTCTATCTGTGATTTCACTGATTTACCAGAAACATAAGTACATGATCTCAATGGAAATTATGTTATTGCTTTACTTTGTTTCTCCGAACTTTGTTGCCCTACTCAAATTATATGTTCAGGTGATTCCAATAGAAAATATGCAATATTTCAAACCAAAACCGTTGGTTCTTCACTACTTGGCATCATGTTTGCATATGGAACAATGCAACCATTCACACATATTTTCATTCACATATTAAAATTAAAAATCTTGTAAATTAATATTATAATACATAATTTTCAACAAATTCTTCATTACAGGCCACAAAAGTTACAATTCAGCATTCAAGCAAGGAAACATACATCACACGGATACGGATAACCAAGTGATAAATATTAACAACCAACCTAAGTTAAGCTTCAATGTTTAAAGCTACTACCTACTGGTTTCCAAGCTAACACAGGTTTCATGGTTTACCAAAATACTTGCTAAGCCAATACAACCATTAGGACTGCTTCTTCCTCTTGATGCAGACTTGCGATCTTGAGCAGAATCCTGGAACCCAGCTTCATTCGTCATGACCTAATTGAAGACGTTATGATAAAGGCACGATGGTGGCTGATCTCTCTGCAGTACCCGCCCTACAATTAAAAAGTAAATTAAATATAAGCACAACTTTTATTTAAAAAAAGAAATGTTACAATTTATTACATTTTTTTGGTAATAATAATTAACAAATTTTAAATTATGATTTTTACCTCTAACAACTCCACCACAAAAACGATCAAAAACGCAGGCTTGGTTGAGTTGTAACATTGTATGTTGGAAGGCATGTGCTAATTCCCCGATGATCTGTTAGATACTGCATGTTTATACTACAAATAAACCAACAAAATAATAAGTATTTTATATTTACAAAAATACTAATATTTTCTATATAATTAGTACGTTATATTCTCAATAATAATAATAATAATAATTTCCATATATAAATACAAAAGCAATACCAAGGTTTTATGTTCAATTCTCGTCAAAAGCAAATTTGAACTATGTTATCGCTAGTCCATTATGAAGGTTAACCCATAGATAACATCGTTTGTTTAAAAAAAAAAAAAAAAAATACCACAAAAACGAAGTTCATAGTTCGAACAAAATTCTTAAAACTTACTATTCTTCTCCTGTACCAAGAGCCATAGCACTATCACTCGTCGTAAATGATTCACCTGCGATCACTCGAAACATTTGGGGATGTGGACTTGTATTGTCCCATCCCAAAATAAGGCTGCACACTGCGACACGGGGACTAACAAACTGATAGGCTAGATTAGCCGCTAGCTCCACCTTGTGCGACTCCTCAGGTATTGTTGAAAACTATCACCATCCAATTGAAAATCAATATATATATAATTTTGAGTAGAAGAAAAAGAAATTGAGAGTTTTTAGTTACCTCTCTTATTATCCGTTGACACATACGCTCCCATGGCATCCTAAATCCAGCCATTGTAATATAAATGTTTCGACTTATTTGATAGAACTTGTTATAATTAAGATCAGTCACATGTCCAGTCCGGGCATCGGTCAACTTTGAATCAACTCCAACACAAATAAAATTTCCCCAGCGGTAAGCAATATTAATGGTGCCATGTTCATAGCATGAAACACCTGCACCACAAATAAGGAAGGAGGGATTTATGGGTGAAAAACTTTTGTGCTCCTAATTATGGAGAAAAAGAACATAAAAGAATACAAACAATGACATCCACGAAGTGAAACAGAGTTCGGAAGGAGTGAAACCTTTTGCACCAGATTGGGAGCCATTGGGCTCCTGAGGAATCAAGTGTTCGTACTCTAATGGTCTTACCACATGCCTGATCTCCGGTGGTAGAAGCTGGTGTCTGCAACATAGAGAAAATTAACCTAATTCAAAGAGATTTTGAAAAAAACAGTAAACAAGGAACTATTAATTTTGATGAGTTCCAAAAACAGTGCAGTCACCTTAGTAGTAGCTGTTTAACCAGGTCAGTTTCAGATATAGCTACGGAAATGTCAATGTCGCCAGAAAGAGTAATCATTTGACTTGAAAATCTTCTAGTGAATCGACCGAGACTTGGAACATTAGCATCAATCTCATGAAGATTTTTCAATGCATGGACAAAAGCGATTCTTACCCAAGCCCTCTTAGAAGCAAAACAGGGCGAAAATAAATGAGGTTTGTCCAACACGAGTACAAAGGGAAAAAAACTTAAGCCAACGGATCAAGAATCCCAAGCTTACCTTGTCCTTCAATGCCAATCCAATATACTGTAAGTATACATCCTGCAAAAACAGTGATGGATAGGAAATAATCCACACGCCTTGTGACTCTGTGCAAGAAATCCAAATATTTGGATCGATCTCACGATAGCGATAGCAATGCACAAACAACCTACAATGATGGATTAAACTGTGAAAAAGAACTAAAGGATTATGATAAAACAGGAACTTTATGAAATCATATCAGTTTTCTTTGCTTCTTACTTATGATGCTGAGTCAGAATATCCTACCCTTTTGGTATCTTGCACATCATCTGCTCTAATGTAGTTATCTTGCCGTTAGTCATTGAGAGCCTCTTGTTCAGTGATTCCACACGATGTCCCTCAGTTTCTATCTTTTGTTCAGCGTTGAATTGTATACGAGTAGTTTCTCGCCTGGTAGCAAGTGTGTTGGCAACAGATATAAATGATGTGATCAGCTGCAGAGCCCTCCAAGTAGCAGCTTGACGATAAGTTCTTGGACCATGGCATCCTAAATGCAGCCATCAGCCATAGTACCCTTGAAAAAGTCTACAATAGCAACATATGTTGTACCATGGCATCCTAAATGCAGCCATCAGCCATAGTACCCTTGAAAAAGTCTACAATAGCAACATATGTTGTACCATGGCATCCTAAATCCAGGCAGCCATAGTACCCTTGAAAAAGTTTTCACTTTTGCAAAACATATGTTGCTATTGTACCCTTGAAAAATTTTTAAGTTTCACTTTTGCAGCACCTATTAGTAATATTACTTCATTCTCTCTCAAAACCTCAACACCTCGTCTGAGTTTTGCTAAAGTCTTTGCTCCACCGCCGGAATGCCTCTATCAGGTAAACATGCGCCCCTCCATTTTTATTTTTTTGTATTATGGGATTATTTTTGTTTATTCCATTATCTGTTTCATTTCTGAATCTAAATCATTCATTGACTGTTGGGACAGGAGTTTTGAACGAGGAGAAACCCAAGGGATCCAAGGTGTGCTCGCTGAAGCCACACCTTCTCTGGTAGTTGCACAACCGCAAAAGTAAAAACGAGTTGCCAAAGTTCAAAAATGAAAGAATTTAATAACTTCAAAGATAATCTTCAATGTTTATGGGATACTCTGGTCGGCGAGTGTCAACATGGACCATTGTTTGATCAGATTTTGTTAAAGTGCATGGATTATATAACTGCATTGTCACGGTTAGTGTTCAAAGGTGCGTTTATCTGTTAACTACTCTCGTTTGAATTGCCCTGTTTTATGTTAAAGCAGCAGTCCAAGAACTTATCGTCAAGCTGCTACTTGGAGGGCTCTGCAGCTGATCACATCATTTATATCTGTTGCCAACACACTTGCTACCAGGCGAGAAACTACTCGTATACAATTAAACGCTGAACAAAAGATAGAAACTGAGGGACATCGTGTGGAATCACTGAACAAGAGGCTCTCAATGACTCACGACAAGATAACTACATTAGAGCAGATGATGTGCAAGATACCAAAAGGGTAGGATATTCTGACTCAGCATCATAAGTAAGAAGCAAAGAAAACTGATATGATTTCATAAAGTTCCTGTTTTATCATAATCCTTTAGTTCTTTTTCACAGTTTAATCCATCATTGTAGGTTATTTGTGCATTGCTATCGCTATCGTGAGATCGATCCAAATATTTGGATTTCTTGCACAGAGTCACTGTTTTTGCAGGATGTATACTTACAGTATATTGGATTGGCATTGAAGGACAAGGTAAGCTTGGGATTCTTGATCCGTTGGCTTAAGTTGTTTTCCCTTGTACTCGTGTTGGACAAACCTCATTTATTTTCGCCCTGTTTTGCTTCTAAGAGGGCTGGTGCAAGAATCGCTTTTGTCCATGCATTGAAAAATCATTGTGAGATTGATGCTAATGTTCCAAGTCTCGGTCGATTCACTAGAAGATTTTCAAGTCAAATGATTACTCTTTCTGGCGACATTGACATTTCCGTAGCTATATCTGAAACTGACCTGGTTAAACAGCTACTACTAAGGTGACTGCCCTGTTTTTGGAACTCATTCAAAATTAACAGTTCCTTGTTTACTGTTTTTTTCAAAATCTCTTTGAATTAGGTTAATTTTCTCTATGTTGCAGATTCCAGCTTCAACGACCGGAGATCAGGCATGTGGTAAGACCATTAGAGTATGAACACTTGATTGCTCAGGAGCCCAATGGCTCCCAATCTGGTGCAAAAGGTTTCACTCCTTCCGAACTCTGTTTCACTTCGTGGATATGATTGTTTGTATTCTTTTATGTTCTTTTTCTCCATAATTAGGAGCACAAAAGTTTTTCACCCATAAATCCCTCCTTCCTTATTTGTGGTGCAGGTGTTTCATGCTATGAACATGGCACCATTAATATTGCTCACCGCTGGGGAAATTTTATTTGTGTTGGAGTTGATTCAAAGTTGACCGATGCCTTGACTGGACATGTGACTGATCTTACTTGCAACAAGTTCTATCGATTAAGTCATAACATATACATTACAATGGCTGGATTTAGGATGGCTTGGGAGGAAATGTGGCAATGGATAACATCAGTGGTAACTGAAAACTCTCAATTTTTATTTATTTTTACTCAAAATTATATATATTGATTTTCAATTGGATGGTGATAGTTTTCAACAATACCTAAGGAGTCGCACCGGGTGGAGCTAGCAGCTAATCTAGCCTATCAGTTTGTTAGTTCCCTTGGCACAGTGGGCAGCCTTGTTTTGGGATGGGACAACACAAGTCCACATCCGCAAATGTTTCAAGTGATCGCGGGTGAATCATTTACGACTAGTGATAATGCTATGGCTCTTGGTACATGAGAAGAATAGTAAGTTTTAAGAATTTTGTTCGAACTATGAACTTTGTTTATGTGGTATTGGTTTATATATGTATATATAGAAAACTTTGTTTTAATCCTTACAAAAGATGAGTTTTAGACTATAACCTTGTGTAAGATTAAAATCCAATTTTAATCCTTTAAACTTCATTTTAACCATCTCATTTATTAGTTATATTTTGATGTTTTATTTATCTTTTTTATTCCTATTTTAATATATTAACATTTAAATCTAATTTTCATTTCATTTATCATAATATTTTAATGTCTACATTTAGGCAACTAATTTTTATTTTTATTTTTTATAATATATGTTCCCTGTGTGCGGTTTTAATTGGTTCATCAGTCTTCCTTCTTTGGTTGAACTACACATCTCTTCCTTGTGCTGTGTTATTTTACTATGATTTTCTGCAGCCTAAATATGTCTTGGTTCTGATATGATACATTTTTGGCCTGTAGACGCTGGTGGTGTCAGGCTTAGGGACGACATTATAGCAAAAATGTTGTGACAAAGCGTGTTTTGGAGAATTAATCTGATATTTTTTTTGTGTCTTTTCCGGCCACAAGTCTGCATGTTGATTTATGTCGGTTTGCCAGGAAGTAGTTGAACACAAACTCTTGCCATGATGAAGAATTACCTGTTCCTTCTAAGTAAGTTCATTGATGACAAAACAAAAGTACCATCACTGATTGAATATACCGTACCTTCACTGATTGAAGAGGCATGAGAAGGTGGTTAACTGTGTTTTTTTGTTTGCTTGTTATATGGTATTTTTTCAAAACTTAGGACTAGTTTGGTATTGCCGTGCTTTTTAAAAAAATTGCTTCTACACTATGCTGTGAGAATAAACAGATGTAAAATAAAGTAGTTAAGTGTTTGGTAAGCTTTTTTTATAAAAGTGTTTTTAAGTGTAAGGGTGTTTGGTAAACTTTTATATAAAGCTGTTGTGACTATGTCAAATGACAAAAATGAGTATGATATTAAATATAAAATAAGAATAATTTTATTTATATTTGACAAAAAATAAAGAATAATAATTTTATTTATTAATACTCTCTCTAAAGTCTTCTCCCTTTATTTTCTCTATCTGCATCGACTAGACTTTTCCAAAAACCAAAAAAATCTTCCTGGAAGTCTCCCCCACGACCCCAATTTTCTTAGTTCTTATTTTTTCTGCTCCGTCTTCTTTTTTATTTTCATCTCCATGGATTCCGAATGCGCCAACGCCGTGACAATGCTGTCTTTGATGGGTTGTTCCTCAATCTCTCTCACTTGTCTCCCTGCATTTTTCTTCCTCATTTTCTCCGTCTGGGCAATCTGGCCTCTCCTAATTTGCAGAAATACGAAAATCCGTCTCCTGTAAGCGGTGCAATTTGGGAAATCTAGGCAAGTCCGCGATGCCAAAACCGAATCTGAATATAAGTCTGGTTATTGCCAAAAAAGATGGTGGTGTTTGTCGACGCGATTTTGTCGGCGTGGAAGTGAGAGAGGACGAACGAGAGATGGGTGAAAGGACAGAGACAGAAACGATGTCGTAGGGTATGGAATCCAAGGTCAATAACGGTGATTGTTGAAGCTGGGAGCGAACGGCGTTGTGGCGGAGTCGACGAGGACAATCTCCTAATTGAAGTTGGCGACGTCTTCCAGTTGGTATTATGGGTACTTTATTTAATTGTTTAAGGTCATTTTGGGTATTTGAAAGTTTCATTAAAGGATTCAGCGCCTTTTGCAAATTAGGTTTGCGCAGAAGCTGTGGAAGCAAAAAAAGCAAGTTTTTCAAAGCTAGCTTTTGCTATTTTTGTTTTTTGGATTTGTTTTTTCATCCAAAACTATGAAAAAAACAAACTGAAGTTGAAAGTTTACCAAACACAAAAAACTCCTATCTTTTTTTGACACCCATTTTTTTCAAAAATACCTCAGAACCAAACTAGTACTTTGTCTCAACGAAAATGCTTATATGCTTTATAATTCTGATTGCATTGAATACTGGAAACTTCAGTTCTAGTGTAGTGAAATATTTGCTGTGCTCAAGGTTTGTATTCTACTACCGGAGCCGTGGTTTCTGTTTTTGTTTCAACAAATCTGTAAAGGTTTGCCAGATGCGTCCATTCTTAAACAGTTTCGGAACCCTTGCGTGCAACAGCTCTGTATTTCACGGGTTTGTAATTTGTTCTTAATCTCCCCTCGATTGGACTTGTAATCTCTGGCCGAAAAAATAATTGGACTTGGAATCTTAGCGAACTAGATGTTTAAGTTAACTTTTTGTTATGTACCCGAATGTCATTTTTGCGTCAAGATTGTTTTATAGGAGACATTTTTCTGTATTTGTCATGTGTATATAAATGGGTGAGTCTACTGTGGTTGTGAATTTGAAGGTTTTTGTAGGAAAACAGTGGCGGAGAAACAAAACATGTGAGAGCGAGGAAGGAGGACTTATTGCTTTTGATGAGAGGGTCCGATTCCATAGCTCACTTCGCCTCAGCTCTCCAACACTTTGGATAATGCTCTTCAGGTAAAGTTCGATCCCGTCTGCAGGTAAAGATTTGAGCTTTTTACAAATTTGGTCTCAGTAAAAAATATTGTCTCAGATCTGAGTTAAAAGAGCTTAAATTGGCATTTTTTTTTTCTAGGGTACGAACATGTATTGAGTACAAACGCTTACAAATGACCCATGTGGTGTATGAGACCGATCAGACGGTGTAGAACACCGCTCAGTGTGCCATGATGATGGTATTTTTAGGTGTTCATAGTGTAGAAGAACACAAATTCGTAATGTTTGAAATTTGAAATTTGCTTATTGATTGCCTCAACGGCAGAAATTAGTTGAAACTCAGGTGGGATTTGAGCTTATGGGACTACTTTCTTTGCTGTGTTTAAATAGGGAGCCATCGATCTAGCTAAGCCACCCATATTGACAGAGATATTCCAGAGCCACCTGAGCAACTCGGAGACAGAGTAAAGAGAAGGAATCGGAAGAACAGCAGAATGCAGAAAATTCCGGTGTAAGATTGAAGAGGAAATTCGACAACAGTCATTGCTCAGATGTGCAAGGAGCAAGGACCGAATGGCGGGAAGCTGAAGAAAGCAAAAAATGTAGGTTTCTGTCTTTTGGTCGGCGTGAAATCTTTGATGGGTTTTGAGTTGATTGCTAATTGTGTGCTCAGCTCTCTACAGCTTGCAATTTCAATGGCAACAAAAGCAGCTTTGTTTGCCCAGGAACTCAAGTCGATAAGATCGGATTTATGCTTTATGCAGGTGCGCTGTGCTCTGCTGGAGGAGGAGAATCGAAGGCTCCGAGATGGGCAGTATAAAGGGTTGAGGCCTAACGAAGATGATCTGGTGAGGCTTCAGTTGGAGGCACTGCTGCTAGCTGAGAAGTCAAGGCAAGCAAATGAAAATTCGAACCTGGTTAGGGAAAATCAATGCCTCCACCAGGTTGCGGAGTATCACCAGCTCACCTGCTTCATTTGAACAAGTTGTACAATGGTTGCGCCTAGACTTTCCGTCTCCACCACGCGGACAGCAGACGAGGGAAATGGTGAAGATGGCGATGCTGCTGCTGAAAATGAAGTTTCTCAGACATCAAGAAGTAATCTTTTCGGCTTCTCTGCCTCGCTTGATGATGAGTGTTCTCATGGAGATGACTAGCGGAGTGTTCTCATGGAAAATTTCAAATGGTGGCAATCAAATACTTTTATGCTTTTTTTTCCTCCCTAATTGGGAGGAACTGAACACGGAACCATTAATTTGGGTTACATTTGGGGAGAATATATATGCTTGGGCGTCGATTCTAAACTAACCTGTGTCGTGACCAAACGTACCACCAGCTTAACCTACAACAAGTTCTTTCGATTAAGTCGGAATGTGTACCTCACCATGGCTGGTCTGAGGTCGGGCTGGGAAGAAATGTTCTGATGGCTAAAAGTGATGGTAAGTGAAAAGTCTAAACTTATATCTTATTACCTCAAGAATATATACACTGATTTTTTACTTCCACTCTGCCAGTTTTCAGATTTGCTTGATGGTCAAATGCTAGAGTTGCTTGATGGTCAAATGCTAGAGACAACACTTTGTTTAGCGTACTAGTTAGTTCGATGTCTAGCCACTAGTCCCAACCCTTAGATGTTCCGAGTCAGGTGCCGTAAATCGATTACAACTGACACTCAAACAATGGCCGTCGGGTCAAAAATAGTAAGCATCAATAACTTGGAGAAAGAATATATTTCTTTTGTTGTTTTCTTGTAAATATATGATAATAATTATGTCCTGGGTCATTATTTATGACCACGAACATAATTATTATCATATATTTATAAGAAAACAACAAAAGTAATATATTCTTCTCCCAACTGAAGTTATTGATGCTTGCTCGATTTACGGCACCTCACCCTACGGCCATTGCTTAGGCGGCAGTAATAATCGATTTACGGCACCTCACCCTACGGCCATTGCTTAAGCGGCAGTAATAATCGATTTACGGTACCTCACTCGGAACACCTGAGGGTTGGGATACGAGGCTAGACACCGAGCCACCAGCACTGGAAAACTGGTACCTCGCTCGGAACATCTGAGGGTTGGGATACGAGGCTAGACACCGAGCCACCAGCACTGGAAAACTGGTACGCTAGACGGGTGGACGGAACATCTGAGGGTTGGGATACGAGGCTAGACACCGAGCCACCAGCACTGGAAAACTGGTACGCTAGACGGGTGGACGGGTGGCCGTCTCTAGCCTCTGAGTCTCTGACCCTCCTCAAGCAAATATGAAAACTGTCAAGAGTGGAACTCAAAAATCATAAGTTTAGACTTTTCACTTAACATTTCTTCCCAGCCCGACCTCAGACCAGCCATGGTGAGGTACACATTCCGACTTAATCGAAAGAACTTGTTGGGTTAGTTTAGAATCGATGCCCAAGCATATATAGTTTCCCCAAATTATGCCCAAGCATGTATAGTTTCCCCAAATTATGGTTCCGTGCTCAGCTACTCCCAATTAGGGAAGAAAAAAGCATAAAAGCTGTTAAGGATTTAATTGCAACCTTTAATTTGAAATTTTCCACCAAGAACAAAATAAGAAATATCCAGAAAGTGCACGGAGGTACAGATGCAGGTTCCACCGCTGGCATGTAGGATTTCGCGTCTGGCCTTACCTTGACCTCTCTTTCTCTCTCTGAGATTGCAGATCGATCGCGCTCGATAAGGAATTTTAGGGATTTGATAACCGCATTGTTCGACTTGGAGGCAGAGGTTCTGGGTTCCCTTGTATTTATAGGTTCGGCTTCACCCTTCAGTTTAGGTTGGGCTTCACCGTTCAGTTCGGGTTGGGCTTGTTTTTTTTTTTTTTTTTTTTTTTTTTTTTTAATTCTCTCAAGATGGTTAGTAGTGTCAATTCCTCTCATATATATATATATATATATATATATATATTTATTTATTTATTTTAAAATTCTCTTGTTTACTAGAGTTTTATATAATTTAGAGTTTTGTCAAGGAGAAAACAAGAGTCAATTTCTTGGAAAATCCAATCTGAAATATTGAAGAAATAAATGAGGAATCGATAACTAATTTAGGAGCATGTTTACTTATTTGAAATGAGTATATTTTGTTGTTGTTTGCGTACGAAATAATCTATCGTTATGATTTGATATCTGATTATTTAGATAATAGTGTTATTAATTTGAGTTATGCCCAGTAGGGAACTTGGACAATAAAGATCAAGCTCAAAGGATGATATTTGGTGCAAATAGCATATCCCTAGTAAAAGTATATGAAATTAATTTTTATCGGTATAATGACAGAACAAAGGCCATAATGTTTGTCATATTGAGACGATATATCATGAGACTATTAGTTACAAATATAGTGCTAGTTAGTTTAATAGTATTTTCGGGAGTATATATTTCTTCATAAATAAGTTTTGCACACTTGTTTACTCCTTTTGCAAGCATTTTTTTTTTTTTAGTTTAGATTAAAAAAATTAGTTTAAAAGACATAAATAAATAAAAAACGTAGACTGAACAAATGGTGTTTACGGAAATCACTTCCCTTTGGTCTATTTGAACCATGAGGTTTTAAAACCCGTATCATTTAATATATTTTGTCTATTTGAACGTCTAATCATCCTTTAAACTCACGAGTTATTTTATAATGTGGTCTAAATATGACTTACACGTTAGTCATATAAGAGTCTGAAGTTCACCACGTCCTCAATTTAATAAATAATCAAACAATTCATTTGACCAAACGCACAAACTCATACAACTTCAACCTTAGAGTGCAATATAAAAAAATTAAAAATTCGTAGCCAATTTTTAAAATCACCCCAAATCCAAAGAGTATAAATATAGTCAAGCCAAATTTATAGTTTCAAGATTATAATTTGGAGATTTCTCGACTAAAAATTAGCCTAATTCTCTTTTAAAACCTAATTTGAAGAAGAGCGACATCATACATCATACAATCGACGTTCATGCCAACCATATATATATATATATATAGAGAGAGAGGTTATAGTTTTTTTTATTCCTTAAAAGAGACTAGCTGGTGGTTTCGCCACAACAGTCCACCATTCTACGGGCCGAAAAGACTCACAAATACATTTCAGTTTTTATAGGGTGCTATTATTAGGACTCCAACTATTTTATTATGCACCGAGAGTGCGCTTACATTCTTTTTGGCATCTCAATGTTAGCTATTCACCATCTGAAGTTACACGTTTCAAAGGTTGGATTGTTCGCCCATTAAAACGGTAGGTGAGCTGAGTTCAAAATATTGTGACAGAGTTCGATCCATCGTCAACATGAATGTTAGAGCATTGCAAAGATCATTTCCTAGTACGAGAGGACAGGGAAGAACGTACACATTGTTAATACATTCAATTACATTGAGACAATATGAGAGATATATAAATATATATCCACACATAGTGTCATTATGAGGGAATATCAGTGTAACGAGTATTCAAAGTTGAAACCAACTTTCTCCAAAAGTGGCCCATCACCTACAATGTCCACTTACCATGAATCACGTTGTTTTTAATTTTCTAGCTGCAATTCAGAACCACTTAAAACGATAAGAAGATAAGCCCATCGTTTTCTTCCTTCTTCCTCCTTCTCCTTCCTCCTTCATTCTCTGTTTCTGTCTGTCTGAAGTTAACTCCAAGTTCTTCCCATGGTACCCCTAGTTTCCCTCCACACATCCACAACCCAACCCCTCCTATATACACCAGCCGCCGCCCCATTTATCCAACCCCACCTCTCCCGCACCAAAGCCCATCCTCCCCGACGAACCCAATTTCTCATATCATCGATCTCCCAGAACTCTCATCGATTCACCAGCCAAAACCCCCAACCCCCGCAAGCTCAGCCGCCGAGAACCCAGTTCCCAGGTGGGTTCAAGCGCCCGGAGGTCAGGGTCCCCAATGTCGTGCTCCAATTGGACCCGGACGAAGTCCTTGCCGGCGAGGATGCTTTGGATTTGGTAGACAAGGCGGTATCGAAGTGGGTCGGGGTTCTGGTCCTTAATGGTCGTGATTCAAGCGGCGGCAGGCTCTATGAAGCCGCCTGTAAGCTGAAATCGGTGATTAGAGACCGCGCCTACTTGTTGATCTCCGAGAGGGTCGATATCGCCGCCGCGGCTAATGCCAGTGGAGTTCTGCTCTCCGATCAAGGTCAGTCTTCATTTTCAGGTCATTTTACTACTTGGGTAATCAGTATTCTGATACATGTGTGTGTGTATATAGATACAGACACATGATATTATATAAAACTTCTTTGCTTGTGTCATCTCTGATATTAGAAGATGATTGATGTTGACTCATTGTATTTTATTCAAGTTCAGCAAGTTTTAATCTTAATGAATTATACAAACTAAGTGGATTGATATCAAAACAAGAATAATCTGTTTAAATCTCATTTCTTTACTGAATTTCGTACATTTTCGTACATTTGGTATTGAAAATCCGTGGACTTGGTCAGTGATGCCGTTTTTGGTAACGGAGGTGAATGATGGGTTTGTTTCTTCTTACATAGGTCTTCCTACCATTGTAGCAAGAAGCACAATGATGGCTTCTAAATCCGATTTGGTTGTCCTTCCTTTGGTGGCAAGATATGTGCAAGATATAGATGGTGCCATAAATGCATCCAACTCTGAAGGAGCTGACTTTCTTATATACGATATTGCTGGACAGGAAAATGTTCTTCTGGCACTCAACAGTCTGTTTAAAACTGTAAAGATACCAATATTTGTCACGTTCACTTCTTATAACGCCTTATATAAGGAGGGGCCAGCATTATTGAAATCTGGTGCTAGTGGATTAGTTACGTCTTTGAAAGATTTCCAGCTGCTTGATGATGAGGCTTTGAGCAAATTGTTTGACATTGTGTACATGCTGAATAGTGACACACAAGATGAAGTTGAAGGCTTAAGTAAGCTCACGTATTTGGATGCCCATGATGGTCCCATCAACAGTACAAGTGTTGCTGGTTTTCTTAAATTGGAGGATAGAGAAAAAAAGTTCATAGAAGCAGAAAGATCAGTGTTGCTTAAAGCAATAAATGTCATCCAGAAAGCTGCTCCACTGGTGATCATTTAATTAAAGATTTTGGTAGTTAAAATATTGAGATAATCATAATTTCATTCATTTTTATTTGTATACTTTATGATTAAAAGTGGAATATTGATTTTGAATGACAGATGGAGGAGGTTTCACTTCTCGTTGATGCGGTTTCTCAAATTGATGAGCCATTTTTACTGGTTATAGTGGTAATTGTGTGCTGAACTTCAACAAATTGTGGTTCCAGGAATATACATTGGTATTAGCTCTATATTTCATGTGAATCCTTCTTTTCTTTATAGAATATAGAATATAGAATTTAGGTGGCCTTTGATAACAGTTATGCAGTAGTTCGTGAGAATTGCTAATAAAAAAGTTCAGAGATGTGTAAATTTGTAAGCCATTATTGGTTTCAAATATAGACCCGACAAATAGTTTGGTTCTATCATCTATATACCCTTACCTAACCTTTAGGAATTAACTACACTACGTCTCTTCTGCTATTATATACGCCTAGGACAATACGTTTGGTCACATGAGTGGTCATCTTGCCTTCAATTTGCCAAAAGGCACCAGTTCTTGTTCGGTCTTTGTTTGGATTAATGCTTCCAAACTGACTGTTTTAGAAGGTGCATGACTGTACTACTCATTGAAAATAATCATCACCTTAATTTAGTTATTTGTCATGTTTGAGCTAGAAGAATCATGAGGGGAGTATTGTGTCATTTTGTACAGTTGGCTTTATTCATGAACTGTCAGAATGTTTATGGTGGTTCTCCTATGACACTTTCTCTCTTTTTGTCAACAGGGTGAATTTAACTCTGGCAAGTCAACTGTTATTAATGCCTTGCTCGGGAATAAATATCTTAAAGACGGGGTTGTTCCTACAACTAATGAGATTACTTTCTTACGGTATACTGAGATGGATGCTGGTGAGGAACAGCGTTGTGAAAGGCCGCCAGATGGTCAATATATATGCTACCTTCCTGCTCCGATTCTTAAAGAAGTGAGTAGATTTCAAACTCTTATATTCAGTTCAAATAGTACAATCCCTTATTAATAGGTTTTTTTATATGGTTAGTGTGCCTTTGTTTAATTGAATATCCTACATATCATATGTAAGTAGCCACCGAGAGTCATGATGGTTGGATGCACAAGATAAAAAGTTGTGTGTTGTAGGCAGAACAAAATCTACTGCACAGCTAGTCTATCATCTTCCTAGGATTATATTAATGCTACTTTATGATTAAAAATACATTTTGTAGTATGTACTTATTTTATTTTAAATTGGACGCAGATGAACGTTGTTGATACACCTGGAACTAATGTGATTCTCCAAAGGCAACAATGCCTTACTGAGGAATTTGTGCCCCGTGCTGATCTGCTTCTTTTTGTTATCTCTGCTGATCGCCCGTTAACTGAAAGTGAGGTATGATTTGTTTGTTCGTCAAATTGCATGACGTGCTGCTCAATGCATCTATAGACTACAAATTGACAAATAAAGATTTCACGAGCTTCTATGGTTGCATCTCATTCTTTTGTCCAGGCTTCTTTCTTATAAAAAAGATTAATTTATCTGGAATAACAGGATGCTAGTTAAAATATACATCTAGGAAATATCTTTCCCCTCTATTCCAATATGATTGATGACAAGGTTTATGTAAGGATTCTCCGTTAGTAGGTAATAGTCCAAAGCTGCAAATAGCTGAGCTATATGGCTAGAATGACATTGATGTGGGTCTTAAAGTCTTTTAACTGATTCTGACTTTGGTTAATTATATATTTTAGACTAGTGCAATAGTTTTACCTATTCATTATTTTCACTAAAGCTGAATTCAATTTTGTCACTGGTGTTTTCTCCAGGTTGCGTTTCTTCGTTATACTCAGCAATGGAAGAAGAAAGTTGTGTTTGTCTTGAATAAATCTGATATCTACCGCAATGCCCATGAGGTTCTAGCATTTCATGCATATTGAATGTTGATATTACCTTTAGTAATCCTATTGCAGAAAAAAAACATGTTAATATGATGCTTCTATCCGTTTGAGCTTCTCAATTGTCTTCATGTTGCTTTATCTAATTTCATTATTTCTGCAGCTTGAGGAAGCTATGTCATTCATCAAGAAGAATACACAAAAACTTTTGAATACTGAACATGTGACTTTATTTCCTGTGTCTGCGCGCTCTGCTCTTGAAGCAAAACTTTCAGCTTCTATGTTTGGGAAAGATTATGCAGAACTATCGACATCTGATGCTCAGTGGAAAAGTAGTAATTTCTCTGAACTTGAGAATTTCTTGTATAGTTTCTTAGATGGGTCAACAAGCACAGGAATGGAAAGAATGAAAATTAAACTGGAAACACCGGTAGCAATTGCAGAAAAGCTACTTTCTGCTTGTGAAACTCTTGTGACACAGGACTGCCGATATGCCAAGCAGGACTTGGCCTCAATAAAAGATATAGTTGGCAGTGTTAAGAACTATGCAGTTAAGATGGAAAATGAAAGCATTGCTTGGAGAAGAAGAATTTTATCTGTGGTATGTTTTGCACAATTTGATTCAGTGGCAAATTGGTTGTTGAGAGTTGTCCCACATTGGTGAGGGACAAGATTTGCTATGTGCTTATATGATCTTGGGCTACTCCTCATATTGCCAATTGGTTTTATGGTGGAACCTCAATTTCATTATAGTTTCAGAGCAAGGTTGTCCACGTGTGAAGCCCAACGGCCACACGCACTCCACGTCACCCAGTTGTTGTCCACGTGTAGGCTTGAAAATCCGCCACACGTGCGGGGGCGTGTTGAGAGTTGTCCCATATTGGTGAGGGACAAGGTTTGTTATGTGCTTATATGATCTTGGGCTACTCACCATATTGCCAATTGGTTTTATGGTGGAACCTCAATTTCATTATTGGTTATATATTTTCGAACATGAGTTAACGCATTGTGCATGTACATGAAATTGCAGATTGATATTACAAAATCACGTGTTGTTGAACACATAGAAGCTACTCTGCAATTATCAAATCTTGATCTTGTTGCTAACTATGTTTTCAAGGGGGAAAAATCCTCCACGATTGCTACCACCTTGAGGGTTCAAAATGACGTAATGGGTCCTGCATTTTCAGATGTGCAAGTAAGTTAATAGCTTTTTCCCCTATTGCTTTGTCAAGCCCTGCTGTCTAATTTGAATTATGCAAGGATTATGCCTGTATGAGTTCATAAGACAGAATTTCATCTCCTGTTCAGCATAGGAATTAAAAGAATTATATTCTCTAATTGTATTTTCTTCCATTATCTATTGGTTTTATGGGTTTTAATTCTTCATTTTTTTTTTTTTTTTTTTTTTGTTTGTTTGATTTCAACATCTTGTCATAAAGAAACAACTTGGAGAATATGTGACATGGTTGCAATCAGACAGTGCTTGTGAAGGAAGGATGTATGCAGAAATGTTTGAAAAACGTTGGCCTTCATTTGTCTATCCATACAGTGGGGTGCATTCGGAGAATTCGCTGAAGAAAGTAAACGAACTCAGCTTGAAAGTGATAGAGGGCTTCAGTACCAGTGCTGCTTCCAAATTGTATGATCAAGAAATACGTGAAGTGGTAAGCTCAGTATAGAATATGAACTAAAAGTTGATGTTCTTAACGAAGAACTAGTTATGATTAAGTCAATCTGTTTTGGACATTGTTTTCTTCAACCGCAGTCTCTGGCAACTTTTGGTGGACTTGGAGCGGCTGGTTTATCTGCTTCACTTCTGACGTCTGTGCTGCCCACCACATTAGAAGATCTTCTAGCTCTTGGTCTTGCCTCAGCTGGCGGGTAACATGTATTCTGGAATTTTACTATTCGTGTCTGCCTTCATTTACTTGCAGATATCTTTCAATTCTTGAAGCTTATATGTCAAAGTTTTGCTCAAACATGGCAGAAATCCTTTCCTCTGCGACGTATAATTCATGTGTATATTTGCTTCTTCTTTGATATAGGTTACTAGTAATCTCAAAATTTCCATCTCGTCGGCAAGAGATGATAGAGAAGGTGAAAAGGACTGCAGATGCCTTGGCACGTGAAGTTGAAGAGGCCATGCAGAATGATCTTTCTGAAGCCATTGGAAATATGGAAATCTTCGTGAAGAACGTTAGCCAGCCTTACCAAGATACTGCGCAGCAGAGACTAGACAAACTCCTAGAGCTTCAAGATGAAATATCCAATGTTGATAAACAACTTCAAACACTTCGAATCGAAATCCAAAATCTTCACGTATCGTGATCTCCGGTGGGGTTTAGCCGTCCTGGGCAGTTAGGGCTTCTTGTAAAATCGTTGTACGGTTTACGTTTGATCTTTTTCCGTGTGTTAAAATTTCATCCCCTGATTTGGGGTATTAAAGTGTAATATATTGTTAGTTATCAATAAGAAATATTACATGGAAGTTTGAAGTGAAGGGATGTGAATTTTGTTTGACATAAAGCCGATTCCAAGCCAACAAGGTTCCTTACTTTGTGAGTGTTGGGGGAACATTTATCACATGCAGCCTTATCCTTGCTTTGCAAAGAGGTTATTTTCACACCTCGAACCATTCACTTTTCGGTCACAAAGTTTTTCTGTTGCACCAAGACTCGCCCTTGAAATTTGTTTGACATGCTTAGCAAATTTCAAGCTCCGGTAACATCGGGTAAATAGTGAGCTAAAGGAAGAACTGAAAACCCTGTGCTCTCACGTTTTACAGTAAATTTATAACCGACAAGAACTGATTCGCGCTGACTTTTGTCAAGTTGGTGTTAATGGAGGAGAGTGAACATTTCCTCTTTAATTGGTGGTTAATATTACTCAACTCTTGATTAAAATTCTAAGTACTGATCCATGCCATTAAGTGTGCCCCGAGAATAGTACGATATTCATTGATAACGGTTATTGTACAAGAGGATAGAGTGCATAATATAGCATTATTAAATTTTGTCGAGGCTTTCAACTTAACCAAGAAAAAAAGTACAACAACCAAGCGTTATCCCACTAAATGTGAATCCTAGAAAACTATTGCGCTCAGTTTTGCGTCAAGTCTTCCGTTAACTCCAAGTATTCCTTACCTTCTTTTAAGTTCCACAATTCATACGTATAGAAAACAAGTGCAAGCTACACCTATATGTAAAGCAAATCGAGCAAGACGGTGTGCATCACCATTAGCTTGACCAACATGGTTAAACCGTAAAATCATCTGCAATGTTATGTCCTGGCATCGACTACACATCCTCAACCACATGACCAAAAGGGAGAAAGTGGTGTTTCACACCCGATTATTATTTTCACTAACATTCACAGTTGTCAGGACACACGACTGCACTACTAATAAACTTCCTTATAAATGACAATTATGATCGAAGGACTACAATTAAACATTTGGAAAGTTAAGTTTGAAGCCCAATGATGATATCTAGTTATCTACATATACCGTCCATAAAGTTGTTTGGTTGTGGGATCAAATGCCACTAGTTTTTATAGCTTATGTCTGCTAATTTAGTGCAATAATTAGTAGGCAGCCATTTATCTTGAGGACATGTTGCAGGATTCAAGTACCCTATGTTTATTTTTTGTCTAAGTGAAAATTATACATGTATAAAAATGGCGATTCCAAGAGAACAAAACTTTCTGTTTTATGAGAGTATAACGTTTAACATGCGCAACTTTATTTGTTTTGTAAAGAGACGGTTTCTACAACTCAAATCTGTAACCTTCTAGGCACAAAAGAGCAACATTTTTGTTGTGCTAAGACTCGCCCTCTTGCATGAAACTATACACGCATGGTTTAAATTAATGGAAGAAAAAGTTGTCACTAACATGGTCAAAAGTGTGAAGGAGTGCGCTTTGTTAACATATTTGTAGAAACCATTAATTCGATTCCATCATCTTTCTTGGTAAAGATCATAAAGTTGAGATGACCAATTTATAAAATATTAGGATTACGAAAGAAAAAGAGTATGCACAACTAGAATTGGTTATGAAATTTTTAATTGAAAATAAAATTTGGTTGCACTAAACCTACAAGTCATATATAACATTGTCAAAAGCTCTTATTGTCTATTTCGTGCTCTTTTAGCTTTTATTTTTAATAAAATTTTAAAACCGATTTTTGTTTTTGCATATTTTTCGTGGAAGAAGGTAGAAAGGGTGAGATAAATTATTGAGAAATGCTAAGGGGACTCTTTCAAAAGTGATACTTTTTATGGATTCTCTGTTATCTATTACTTCAATTTTGGTGTCAACATTATAAAACATTAGACAAAAAAATAAAATAACAGAGAGTTTATGGAGAATTTAACCTCTAAATTATTATTAAACCAAACTTTAAAGATTTTAACCAGAGAAGAGACTAGGTGAAACAAAGAGACCCATTTTATTGGTTACAAAATTTCAAAGGTCTATTTTCTTCTGGTTGGCCATTGTAAAACAAAAGCAGAGATACGTAAAAGATTTTTAAAAGCAAAGTCAATGGCTAGGGCTCGAACATGTACAAGAGCAAAATATTCTTGTCAGCCTAATGCTAGCTAACCACATTGCATGGTGAATCTTAAACCACTATTAAGAAAGTTTGACCCAATTTCTAATCATTTAGTATGAAAATTAGTTGGTTGATCAATTTTATTTACTTTGGGACATTTTTTTTTTCACACATTTGTTAGGTCCACTTCGTAATGTAGTTTAACAATTTGAACCGTTTATCTTTTAAGTCTTTCATTGAAAATCATATACTTAAGAGTGTTGTAATAAGTTTAGAATCTTATTGTATTTCTATATTTATTGTATATCAGGAAATAACTCTTTTCACAAAACAAGGACGACATATAAATGACAAAGTTAACCTCAAACATAAGGCTCGCATGCATGATATTAACTAAAAGTTAATAAAACTTTTATTTTTGGGCATAATTCATAACGGACTTCACCATAAAAGTTTTAATTCTAATTTTTTTACTACTTTCCGATGACCCTATCCCACGTGGCCAAATATCCAACTTGGCCTTTGTCAATATATTAATCTGATCACAGGTTTTTTTTTCGCATCTTTATTTACTAATCTCTCTTTTGTTTCAATAATGGATTCCATTATTATAAGTATTGGTTAAAATTACCAAAGTTGAGTAAGGTGCTTTTGATCCGCACCGTAAGGAATACACTATATTTCTGTTCCAAAGGAAATATAAAAAATAGTAATGATAGTTTTCTAGACACCCTAATTTACAGAGAGGGTGTTTGAAACTCGGATGCTAAAAGGCAAGCACACTATTCATATCAAATGGCCCAACTCTTAAATTGTGTTTGTCGTTCAACACATAATTCTATGTTTTAATTTGGTTAATAGCGTTATTGTGTAAGGAGCAAGTTCTCACATTTAGAATGCCTGGGTCTCTAAATCTTGCTTTCCTATTTGATTCCATGAACTGTATATAGGGAGGGGAACCAAAACTAATCACTAATCATCTTCTCCTAATTAAGGCGATATACGGAGAAACCCCGTGCAAAATCAAATTATTCATGTTAGCCAAGATTCGAAGATGAGCATTTTCGAGCATCAAAACATGCCTGCAGTGTACCTATCTGTTAAATTATGAGCTAGCTAGATAAAAGATGGTGTAACATGACCTAAATAGTAAACAAACAAAAAAAATTCATGCAAATAAAAATGGAAAAATGCTTGCCCACTCAAAGATGAGTAAGAATTCCTACTCAAAATTCTCCGTGTTTGAATCACAGAGTTTCGTGCTTATGATCAGAATCATTCATCTTATGAATCACTCTGTAAAGAACACCTTTACAAAAATGAATTAAAATTAAAGTTGTTTAGTCAATCTATTGTAGTAAATACATATATAGAAGGTTTATAATGATTTTATCAATTTCGTTCATCTATTTTTATACAGTTCGATGACTAAACAACTTTATATTTGATTGATTTTTTGCAGAGGTGATTTTTATAGAGTGATTTATAATATGAACAGTTCTACTCCTAAACACGAAGTTCTATGAATTGACAACGTACAATTTTGAGTTGAACTCCTACTCGTCCTTTGAGTAACTAAATATTATTCATAAAAATGTGTAATTTTTAGGGTTAAAGCTCCAATAATGCACATCTATAACTATTGGATCTTCTCAGACAATTATAGGCCCTGAGAACTGGCAATAAAAACAAAATGAACTTCACGTATGCAAATTGTCAGGTTTATATAACTTCTGATTTCCAATTCCACAAATTACAGTAAATTCTGATCCAATTTTTTTTTAAAATAATTTGGATTTTATTGAGTACGATGACAGATAAGGAAGGAATTATACTTATCTAATATTAGGAAAGCATGGGACGGTCTGGGATTTTTGTTATCGGAACCAGTTTAGGCAAAGCATTCATCTTGCTGCTCAGTGCCCTAGTCTTTTTCTGATGGGAAAAATATAGTAATTTATAGTATTGCAGTACTATTTTTCTTTTTCGAAACTAGTCGCAGTTCCTTGAATTACAGAGGCATTGATTCTTGAAATTAATGCATGATTCAGGCCACACAATATAAAGCAGATTAGGGTTTTAAGGACGAATAGTGATTTTTCACGCTTCCATGTTCTTTCCATGCACACTCTTTTTAATTTTTTTTAGCGTTTCAATTCAATAATTAAATGAGGATCAATTGATAAAAAAATAAGTGCAAAATGATAAAACGAGAATGAGAAAATCAACGGCCCAGCTGAGAGCCAAGCCATACACCACTTCGCGTCAGCTGGGTACAAGCGGGCTAGATCAACTTTAATTGAAATAAAACCCTTTATTTAGCTGTAAATTTCATGACTAAAAATGGTTCGGGGGTCTTTTCTTGTTCCGTTATGTAGCAATGCATGTTGGCTCGGTAATTTGCTTTAATTAAGCAAACTCGCTCTGGGGTTATTGCCTGCAGGGATGTGTTAATGCAAGATTTGGTGCATGAACCACAATATTTCCTTTCAACCAGGGTTTTTTTTTTTTTTTTTTTTTGACAAACAATATGATATTTTTACAACAAGTAACTAGTCCACAAGTTGTGCCCATACATCACAATAGAACTAGCTATAGCACAATATCGATCTCATTACAAAAACAGTATCATCATTGCATCATTAAGATCAGTTGAACATGAGACTTCCTCTATTCAGATAACTAGGTTAAAAGCCTAATAGGTTATTAGGTTTATGACTCAATTTCAAATGCTCGGGAAGTTTCATTGGTGTTAATTTTGCCTAACAAGTATGAACATGTGTGGCTATGCGAGTTAACAAAGGATCACGTGTAATCTTAAAATCAAAATACCAAGTGTTTGTATCAATTAAACCGAAACAAAAAATTTTGTTGTTTAAAGCACACAAACATGTCCGTACATGTTTGGAATTTACCCAACCAAAGAAGATTTTAGCAAAATAGCGGGGATGAAGCGCAGATCAAGTTGCTTTCTTTTGTTCCAAAGAGTAAAATAGCTACAATTTTGGAATTTTGAGTGAACAATAAGCTTCATGATTAGGGGTAAACTCTTGCCTTAGAAGAAAGCAAAGTCAGGTTTAAATTTAATTAAGTGTCCACCATGGGTTCTTCTCAGAATCTCAATTGGTCGGTCATTTTATATGTTTTATGCTGACTGCAAACTTTTTGTATGGAAGTTGAAGCAATCAGTAAGTTGAAAATGAGTCCGGCATTTGTGGAGAAATTTTTCATTCTGCACAGAATACGGGTGACACATCATATATCATTACTCAATAGGAGGAAAGTTTTCGTTTTCAAATATTCTTCCAATTGTATACGAGATGTGGCGTACTGCCCTGTGCTCTATGCACACTGAAAATTTCTCTCTGCGAAACCTTACTATGTGATACTAGAGTATAATTACATAAGATATTAATACACTTATTATAATATAAGTAGTTGTAAAACACACACTACAAACGTAGTTTCTGACCCGAACACATGCAATAGATTGCGTGGAAAAAAATATCAAATTCATATCTGGTCTGTTTGTTTGGTTTTCATTTGGCAGTAAATGCAAATGGCTGAGAAAGCCTTATGTTCCCTATCAAATGAGGCAATTACTCGTTTTATTCACAAAAATTGATTCAACCCCACAATTATTTATAGTTAAACAACAAAAAAGAGTTGTCTTAGCGGCCAAGAATAACACCCAAGTCATTCCTAAAAATTATTACCTCAGTATAGATGTCTAGTTAATTATAGTTATCTCTGGTTTCCTTGTGCACTTAATTGTCTATTGTCTTAAGCACAATTTAAAAATCATCTCTACAAATAAAAAAAAAAAAAAAAAACACTTAACTGAATTAGAAGGTTGTTTAAACATTCATATGTACCAAATAAATGAAAGGTTCATCAAGATGGTCTTAATTGTTACTAAAACCGTTGAGGCCATAGAATAAGTGGAAGATATCTAATTTAACTAATATTTTGTAGACGTTCTTTTTTCTTGATATAACGATATTATCTGCACTTGGGGAAATAAATCGGTTACGAACTCCCCATTTACGAGACGGTAACCAGTTTAACTGATGTAAACATAGACGATTTTTAAATGTACAATGGAAAATTTGTTAATCTCAACCAAGTAAACAAGGTGTTACACATCGAGGGCTACTTCGTATTACAGTCTAGTGGTATCTTCTTCACTTGTAAGTGAGAGGATTTGAACTATATTATTGTTAGACCATTGTGAGACTTAACTCACTCTCTTACTCCCTAATGTAGATTGTAGATTATTTGTTAAAAAATAAAATAAAATAAAAAAAAAGAACAACAACAACAACCGGCTCTTATTAAAATCATACAAATGAAAGTCAAAACTATTATATTTCTTCAACCTTTTAATACTGGAAGACCATATTAAACAAGAGTTTTTTAGAGACTCAACGAAACATGCCCTAATGATTTGGTTTGCCCTGCAACCCCAAAATGCCTTTACCACCGTCCAAAATCATTTTATTTTTTATATTTTATATGTGTGGTAGGAGAGATGTTTTAGGCCTGGTTTGGTATTGCTGTGCTTTGAAAAAAAAAGTTGTTTTTGCTGTGTTGTGAGAATAAGCAGCTGTGAAATAAAGCAGCAGAGTGTTTGGTAAACTTTTTTGTAAAAGTGCTTTTGAAAAAAAAAAAGTAGTATTAGAGTGTTTGGTAAACTTTTATGTAAAACAGATGTGAAAAAAAGCCAATTTTTCAAAGCTGGGTTTTGCAGCTTCTTGTTTTTGGCTTTTTTTTACCCAAAACTGTGAAAAAAAAGCTGAAGCTGAGTGTTTACCAAACACAAAAACAGCTCCCAGCTTTTTTTTATAGCAGCTTTTTTCAGAATCACCTCAGTACCAAACCAGGTCTCAGTGTGTCAGAAATATAACCCGTACATCAAGTGTTATAATAAAAGTGGTTCGATACTGGAAAAAATAATTCTAACCACTTGTATCATGATGATGTATTAAACCGTATTTCCGGCACACTGAAAAATTTCTCATCTAACGGTGTGAGAGAGTAAATCATAAATGTATTATTCTAGCCTTTACTACAGTCCACACTTTATGGTCTTGAGAAATTTATTTCTGACATACTGAAAAATTTCTTGAGAAAATAGTAAATCATAAATGTATTATTCCAGTAGGCACAAAAGTTCTTCTTCACTACAGTCCACGCTCCACGGTCGTGGAAAGTTAACATATTTACAAAAAACGCCACCATCTCTATGCTATAAATTCAAGGCCTCCCCTTCCATTTTTTCTCAAACAATCAGCAATTTCGCTCATGCCATAACTTGGGTTTTCTTTAAATCCAAGTCTTTGCCGGATTTCCCTGCAAATTTTCTCTAACACCTTCAAATTCCTCACCTTTTTTCATCCAAATTCAAGCTCTCTGCTCCTACTCTGTTTTTACAAACGCCTCTGGCATTTTTTTTTTTCTTTTTCACCTTCTTATTTTGCATACCAACATGTCTTCAACATCAAGCACTGTCTGTCATCAAGTGCTGAAATCATGCCTCGAGCCTCTTGTTCACCTCAAACTGAATCCACCGGGGTCAAATTTCCTCCCCGAATCTCCAGAGAAAACATCCCACCTCGAAAAAATTGATAACTTGAACTTGATCAACAAGAAGGACAACAAGGAAGTTGAAGTAGCTGGCTGGAGCTTCCTCCAGTCTCTGGCCAACCCAACTCAAACCGCCAAAAGAGAAAGCGAAGCAGAGAAAGTCTATGTCCACCCGCTCGCTAAGCGCTCTGCTTCAGTGCTCAGTCCAAGAAGCTTGGAAATGTGCACTGAAAGCTTAGGTAACGAGACGGGTAGCGAAAATGGTGGCGACAAGCTCTCTCTTTTGTTACACAAGATTGAAAGTCCTTTGCTCTCACTAGGAAGTAGTGGGGAGGTTAACCCTAACCCTAGATGTTCTACTACTACTATTACAACAAGTGAGAGTCCAAAAATACTGGGTGACAACAATGTTCAAGCTACACCAAAGAGATTGAAAAGTGGTAGTGCAACTACTACAAATTTCCCTCCTCCTTTGACATCCATCAGTGGCTCCAACGGTGTCCAAGTGACGCCTCACCGGGAAGGCGGGCGGCTGGTTTTGAAAGCTGTCACTGTAGTCTCCCCTCCCACCGCCAATTTCCAGGCGGAGCGCGGTGATGGGAGGCTCAGGCTTACATTGCTGAAGGACATTTCATCCCCTAACTGTGACATTATTGAAGAAGTTGGGCTTGAAGAAGTTGAAGAAGATGACGAGTTTAAAATCGAGGCGAAAAACGAAGAAAATGGTGGTGAAGTTGAAGCTGAGGAGATTGATGGGAAGGTTGAAAATGTTGAAACAGAGGAGATGCAGGGGGATACTGTAAGTGTTGAAACAGAGGAGGTGGAGGGGAAGAATGAACACGTTGAAAATGAGGATATGGAGGGGAATAGTGGAAATGTTGGGGGTGAAAAGGGGATGGAAAAGAAGCTCCCAAGGCCAAGCAGATGTAAGGAAGGTGGGCGTGGAAACAAGAAGATGGTCATGAATTGGCCGGAGTCCTTTTGGGTTGCCACTTAAGCCCTTTTCCTCTGTTTCTGTCCCTAAAAAATCACTATGATTATATTTTCACTATTTTTTTTTAGAATTTTTAGTCATTGAAATTTGAAGTTCCGTAGCTTCGAATTTCAAATTATGCTAATGTTGTTATTATCGTTGTCAGACATTTCTATCTTTCGTGTGTATTTCTAGATTAATTAACCTATTATTTTCAGCACGTGCTAATTAACAGTCATATAACGCATAAATCAATTATATAACACGTAAATTAATTATAACATGTTTAAGAGGCAATGAACGTTCATTATAATAAACAATAATTTTAAGGTAGGTTTGATTTTGCATACAAGAATTAATTTTATTTGCTTGGACAGACTAACAACCAAACGGTCCAAACGTGAACAAAGTGACGTAGTTTCACCAACTACCACAATTCTAAAGCATTATGCTGGTCCTGGTCCCAACTATACTGTTATCCAATCAAATGGCCCTATCACTTTTTATGCCCATCATTTTGGACCATTTTTGAAAGTTGGAAGTTCAATAAGTACTCGAAATATTTTATCTTTCCCGTATTCTTCCCAAGCTACTCTTCCAGAATATGCTTCACTGCAAGCACTGTTTGAGTTCAGTAGTACAATTAACAGCTTGAGGTTGCAATCAGTGTAAAATAACTCTAAAAACAAATAATAATGTTCATTATTTGAGAAAAGAACTTGCATAAAACGAGTTTGTATAACGTTTTTGTAGTCTTTTTTTTGTCAAATGTAGATTTAGTTAGATTAGATGTTAGATTACCCACTGACGAGGTTCGAACTCACGCCGTTATGCAATGACTCAACTCATTTTCATTACTGTGGTAAAGGGCTATTGCAACGTTTTTGTAGTTATCTCATCATGTAAGATGACTTTCTTTCTTACCACGCGCCAATGTGAGAAATAGAGAGAGGAGTTATGTGAGCCCCCAAACTGCACGTCACGCGACAAAGGTAAGTATGTTGCATGTTGTGGTATGTATGTCTTGTAATTATTATGTGTATCTCTTTCATCACATGACGGTAGAGAGAAAAGTCACGTGAACTTGTGAAAACCAAGTATTGTGAAAATTTGTTTCGTGCAGAGGTTGTAAGTACGTTGCAAATTGTACATGAAATAATAACCAAGTGGTCCAAAATTTGTGTCATGCTCAAAGGTAACTATATGTTGCATGTTGTGGACCTTGTGGTATGCTTATTCATGGTAACCATCAAGGTGTAGGATCCACAAGGTAACATGGAGTGACTTCATCATCCATGTGTGATCGCTTTTCTTCTTCTCAATTCATATGATATTCCATCACGCACAAGAGACTTGAGACTCAAGAGTTGTGCTAGTCGGCTCGATCGATAGTTCATGCAGCAGAGGAGGAAGAGGGCCACTGTAACAACAATAACAACCAAACCTTAAGTAGAGTTGATTGAATCTTAGAACGCTAATGAGTTTAGTTTTGCATCATTCTTCCATTGTTGGCTCCAAGTACTTCACATCATTTCTTAAAAGTCTCTTTTTAAGTCTTTGTAGATCTTCAACTACAGCTTTTGCCTAGAGTCTCATAATCACATTCTTTAACTGGAGCATCTGTTAGGTCTTCAGTTCATGTGTCCAAATTACCTTAACCGATCTTTTCTTATCTTATATTTAATTGTGGCCACTCCTACTTTACCTCAATTATCTTCGTTCTTAATCCTATCTTTTATCGTTTATCCACACATCCAACGAAACATTCTTACATTCGCTACACTCATTTTTTGCACGTGTTAATTTTTAACTGCTAAACATTCCTTGTCCAACCCACTGTCCTAAAAACTTCCATTCCATAATAACATGCATTTTGTATTAATTGCAGTGTTGGCAGTACAATTTTCGTTACCAATTTATCGCTGACTGACGGCTAAGATGGCTGATGTATAAATATAGAATATATTGACAGCCAATAAAAACAATGATTAACAAGGTTAAGTTAATCTAGAGGTTCCTTTCAGAATATTAGGAGTCTGCAAGTAAAGTGTTTCTAGCTGTCGTAATTGGATGCGTTAGCAATTTCTGAGTCCTGAACGTTGATGCACGTGGAGTTTACATATATATTTCATCCACGTTGTGAAGCCCTAATATAAATGTTAAGGGGATTTTCTCAAAAATAATTTTTTATGAACTCTCTGTTACTTTATATTTTTGACATAATATTTTATGGTATTATAATGTAAATTAACGTTAAACTGTGAAGTGTTAAAAAGTCTATAGATATTAACATTTAAAAAAAAAATCCTCTTAACATTTCTCATATTTTTAAGAGATCGAGGAAGACATTGTCCACTCATGGAGCTGGGGCATCCCTATGTCATTGTACAACGAGTGTACGATTGAAGTGGTTAGTATGGGAAAGGAAATGAAATTGTCAACTTAGCCACATGCAAGATTGTGTCTGATACATCATGTGGTTAATTCAAGAGCTTTATTGATAGATTAGATAGAGACCCTTGATCATATAGGGTACATAAATATAGGGTGATGTTATTCACACACCTTTTTTTATCTCTTACACAATTCTCTTAATTTCTGGCCGTTAGATCGAATGAATTGAAGAAGATTAAATGACAAAAATTAACAAGGTGCATGTGAAAAGTAAAAATGAGCGTGTAATAGCATCATCCTTAATATATCCTCTCACACCATGATATATGAAAGGCCATGTAAAAAGCTAGGATAGAAAACTCTTGGGGCCAAGCTACCTTGTGATCACTTTCATAGTTTTTGGTAAAGGATCACTTTCATTTTACTGTCAGTTGAAAGTACTATTACCATCCATGAAAGAAACTGGCATATTGATACATTATATAACTGCCTGCCCCGTTTAGCCATTGTTGGATTCTCATAAATGGTTAACATCACTCGTAATAATAGTTTCACACGTATCTCTAATATGGAGATTGTTTGTCTTCACATGGGAATTTCAGCTTCCTAGCTTGTTTGTGTTAAAATTTTAGAGTTGAATCAGTAGTTTATTTCAAATCACATATATCATCTCTGTATATATAATATACTAATATGTGTGATTTACCGACGATCTTGATAGTATTAAAGGTGAAACTATTCATATATATGTCAAGTCTCCAATGTGAGATTTGCATTCTTCAAAACTCCTCTTACATAGGATTACATAAAGCTTCTGTACTTTATTAAGAGTGAAAATGTTTGGACCATAAATAAAAATAAGACTTGCTTTGGGGTCAGTTTATTTTTATTTTACGAAAAGTCATGCGACAACGACCCATTAACTCCGAAGCCCAACTTAGGGTACTTTCCTAGGGCTCAGGCGATCATTTCTCACCAATCCATAATTGTCCGAGGACTCTCACTCGACCTTCCCCGAAGCATGTCTGCCACGCCGACAATCAGATTCGAGAATCTCTCGCCTTCTCGTAGAACAAAGAATGCATCACCAGACATGCTGATATCACCACAACAATTGTGAAATGCACCATAAATCTTAGCAGAAGGCTACCAACCATGAATTGCAGCCATTGATATGATCAATATGATTGAGGCTGCTATTCCCTAGTTGCCTATAAATAGAATCAAAGGCCTTCAAGCTCAAAACCTTCGTAAAATACAATCTCTACGATTATACAAACTTCAAGTGATACTTTAATCAACCAAACTGCTTTTCGGTACAAACCAATTGCTCTTTAGTAAAATCTCTTAGCTCTTTAGCTATAATTCAAAGCCTTCCTTCCCTTCAAAGCAAAACACTACCTACTATCACTGAGATATAAAACATTTATAGCTCCCTGTAGTATGATATGGTTGACTTGCAATTCCAACCACCCTGATCACCTATTTGAGACAATGTTTCCTACTTAGTCTAGTCTGATACCAGTGACTTCAATGGACTCCTTTAGCATTATCTTGTCCTACATGACCTGATTTTTGCTAAAGCTGACTGGTTTCATTACATTTTCAAGTTTATTTACATTTCAAGTCATGTTGATTGGCTAACCCATATTTCGTAAACATTTCTAATTGATTTCGTCATGAATTGATTACATTTAGTTTCATGTTTATATATCTATTTCTAATTTCATTTCTAGTAATAACTTATGCAAAGACTCATTTTTGCACTAGATTTCAAGTCCTCGTTCGCTCGAGGCATAAAAAAGAATTTAATTGAACCAACGTTCCACTTGGTGCACAATCTTTTGGTTAAAAAGTCAAATCTACGCACAAATACAACACAACTCTACACACACTACTGTTTGTTGGTATCCTCTAACAGTGTCACACGATTTTCTCTTTCTCTTGACTCTTGAGCCATCTCATGACACTGAGACTGAAAGCAACATTCAGATCAAATACATGTTAAACTCAATCAAGTTTCGTCCGAATTTTGACACCAATAGAAACTATTCATTTAAAGATGGTATTTTATTCCGTCAAGTTTCAAACATATGGATCTACATTCTTCAATAGTTTTTGCATGTTCGTAGGAGCCTGTGCTAATTAGAAAACAGCACCAATAAGTGCCTTAATTTTGTACAAGACCATGATGTATACACTCAACCTAAGCATCAAACTGATGGTGAAAAGATATATATAATGTCTTCTTCATTTCTTGTTTTCTGAATTGCCATATTCAGTAAAAAAAATACAGCATATATATATATTTTTTCCTGCCGGTTTACTTGTACCACAATTAGCTAGGACCGAATTCAAGGTAATAATTATTAATGCCTTCTACACACTTGTGATTAACTTAATCCCGTCAAATTAAAAACATTTGTACTGTTATTTTTCTCCATTTGTAAGCGAGATGTTTTTTTGTTCAAAAAAAAAAAAGTGAGAGGTCTTAGATTCAATTTTCACCCAAGACGAATTCAAACCAAATTATTAGGGCTATCCCATTGTAAGGTTTAATCTATTCTCTTACCCTTTAGTGTAGATAATATCAAATGTATATAAAAAAAAATACATTGAAATGATGTAGTTTAGACTTTCTTTACAAAATAGAGACAGAATGTCCTTCGACCTAGTGATCGATCATGTGCACATTTACAACGGCCAACATTTGGTAACAGAAGATAGGTCAATGATTATAATTTTCGCACCATGACACAATATGTACATCCTA